GATTTGTTTAGAGCACTTCAGTGTTGGGGGACCAGCACCCAACCTCCAGTAGAGCTGCATTAACACTTTGGGTTTGGCCCCATCAATGTCCACTTTATTAATCCCATTTCTTAATAACCATTTTAAGATTTCCACCCTGCTTGAACAAGTCCCTTGACTCTCTCTTTTGTATTTCCCCATTATTTTGTGAATCACTCTAATTTTCTTAGCATCTGTAAGGTACATAAGGGAAAGCTGATGATATTGATCCATGAAATAAGAGATCTCCTTGTCTTGACTGTTAAATTAACATTCGTTAAGTGGAGCCCTAGGGTGCCAGATGGTGAGGTTCAACAAAAGACCACAAGAGAAATTGAAATAGGGAGGTTTCTTACTCACAGGTCCTGGAGGAGGCACACCTTGATGGGCCACATGGGGAGGTCAAGGAAGCTTGCAGGCAAAGAGAGAGGCAGGACCTGGGGCACATGCCTTTATTAGGGTCTGTGGGTGGAGTGCTTTGGGGTTCCCTGGCCAAGGCTGGAGTGGTCAATTCGAACCAAAAAGAGCGGGTTTTGGTAAGTTCGACAGGGGTCTTATCTAAGGAATACACAAGGGGAATTCACAATAAAAGCAGAGAGACGTTAATGGTAGAAGAGATCTCAGGGACCCAGGCTTTGAGATTTTGACCAAAGAGCCATTGAGAGTGGAAGAGTTAAGAGCAGCCTAAATTTGCAATCAGAGCAGAGGGGCACAACGGCGAAAGTATAAACAGGGGCCTAGGATTTGATGTCTATATTGGAGAATCACTGATAATGGAACTGTTAGCAGAAGAGTTCAAAATGTAGAATAGAGGGGCATTGGTAGCAAAAGAGTTAATAAAGAGCAGGATAGGAAGTCACAGCAGAGGGATAATGGTGGTGGAAGAGTAAAAATAGGCCCAAGTTTAAGTTGACGAACTAGGGTAGTCGATGGCGGAAGAGTTAACAGAGACAAGTGTTTGAGTTCACAAAGGAAAATTGTTGATGGAACAGAGGCCTGAATCAGAGTAGCAATGATGGTGGAAAAGTTGAAGAAGCCTGAGACTGAGGTCAGACCAGAGGGACATTGATGGTTCAAGAGTTAACAGAGGCCCAAGTTGAGGTTATAGCAGAGGGCTAGTAATGATGGTATACTTAACAGGGGCCTGGGTTTTAAGTCAAACCAGGGAGGTGTTTATGATTGAATAGTTAACAGGGGCCCAGGTTCCAAATTAGAACAAAGGGGCTGTATTAGTCTGGGTTCTCCAGAGAAACAGAACCAATAATTGTATGTGTGTATAGATATAAAAAGTAATTGGCTCACACAGTTATGGAGGTTGACAAGTCTCATGATCTGCAGTCAGCAAGCTGGAGACTCAAGAGACCCAATGGTGTAAGTTCCAGTCCAAATGCAAAAGACTTATGTCCCAGCTCAAAGACAGTCAGGCTGAGAGAGTGAATCCTCCTTTACTGAGGCTTTTGTTCTATTCAGGCCTTCAACAGATTGAATGGGGCCCACCCACATTAGGGAGGGCAATCCGCTTTACTCTGTCTACAATTCAAAGGTTAATCTCATCCAGAAACACACTCATAGACACACCCAGAATAACGTTTAACCAAATATGTAGATACCCCATGGCCCATTCAAGTTGATACATAAAATTAACCATCACGGGGACATTTATAGAGAAAGAATGAGCAGGGGCCCAAGTTTAGACCAGAGAGGCTGTTGGTTTGATGTTGGCATAGTTAACAGAGACATAAAGGGCACTGATTGTATAAGAGTGAATGAAGGCACAAGTTCAAGGTATAGAATAGAGGGTCATTGATGGTGGAATAATTTTAAGAAGCCCAAGCTAAAGGTCATCCCAGAGCAGCACTGATGGTGCAATATTAAAAAAAGGCTTGAGGGGCTGGCCTGGTGGCATAGTGGTGAAGTTCACATGCTCTGCTTTGGCAGCCTGGGGTTCACAGGTTCGAATCCCAGGCACGGACCTACACACCGCTTATGAAGCCGTGCTGTGGCAGCATCTCATATAAAGTAGAGGAAGATGGGCATGGCTGTTAGCCCAGGACCAACCCTCCTCAGCAAAAAGAGGAGGATTGGCAACAGATCTTAGCTCAGGGCTAATCTTCCTCACACACACACAAAAAATGGCTTGATACTATCAAAATGACAAGCGTTAACAAGTGTTGGTGAAAGTGTAGAGAAAAGGGAACACTTATACATTGTTTGTGGTGTCAGGGGAAGAGAGAGAATCTCCCTCTGCCCTTTCCCTTAAGGTTCTTCTGGCTGGCCAAATAATCAACAAGACAGGTTAGCAGGAGAAAATAATACCAAGTTTAATAACATGTATACATGGGAGAAAGCAGGGACACTGCGTTTCTCAACACAATAGTAGAAATTCTCATCTTAAATACCATTTTCAGCCAATGACAAAGGAGGATTTTGGGGGTGGGGGGAGTCAGTTACAGGAGATTACCACTAAAGCACAGTAAACAAGAGTAAGGTTTATTATGTAGCTCAAGGCCTCACCTTCCACATTGATAAGTCACTAGAAATGAGCTCATCCCCCTCTCTTCTCCAAACAGAGAGGGAGATACCTTTACAAATGGAGATTTCCCTTATAAATGTAAATGATTGTCTGGCAACTCTCCGCAGGGTCATCCAGAGAATGTGGCCAGAGAGACAGAACTTCTGATAAGAGGGACTTGTTGGTGCCTTTCCTATTGTAACATTTACCCTACGTTATCTTTACAGCCATCATGATAGATCTGTTCCAGGAAGGAGCCACCATGTCAAATTCTTTAGGCAGTTAGTGGAGGAGGTCAAATGTCCCTAGAGAAAACAACCAAGGTAAAGAGATAGATTTCAGGGTGGCCAAATCTTGATCTCCCACAGTGGGAACGTGAACTGGTATAGCCATTATGAGAAAGAGTATGGAGTTTCCTCAAAAAATTAAAAATTGACCCAGTGATCCCACTTCTGGGTATATATCCGAAGACAACGAAATCAGAGTCTCAAAGAGCTATCTGCACTCCCATGTGTACTGCAGCATTATTCACAATAGCCAAGGTATGGAAACAACCTAAGTGCCTGTGGATGGATGAATGGACAAAGAAAATGTGGTATATATATCTTCCTCAACTTACAGTGGGGTCCCAATAAACCCATTGTAAGTTGAAAATAGCATAAGTAGAAAATGCATTTAGTATACCTAACCTACCAAAAATCATAGCTGAGCCTAGCTTACCCTAAATGTGCTCAGAACACTTACATTAGCCTACAGTTTGGAAAAATCATCTAATACAAAGCCTATTTTATAATAAAGTATTGAATATCTCATGTAATTTATTGAATACTCTACTGAAAGTGAAAAATAGAATGGTCGTATGGGTACAAAATGGTTGTAAGTGTATCGGTTGTTCATCCTCGTGATGACATGGCTGACTGGGAGCTGTGGCTCTGTGCCACTGCATAGCATCACAAGAGAGTATCATACCACATATTGTTAGCCCAGGAGAAGATCAAAATTTAAAATATGGTTTCTACTGAATGTGTATCGCTTTTGCACCATTGTAAAATAAAAAAATCGTAAGTTGAACCATCATAAGTTGGGGACCGTCCATATATACACAATGGAATATTATATAGCCATAAAAGACGGAAATCTTGCCACTTGCAACAACATGGATGAACCTGGAAGACATTATGCTAAATGAAATAAACCAGACAGAGAAAGACAAATACTGTGTGGTATCACTTATATGTAGAATCTAAAAAAGTTGAACTCATAGAAACAGAGAGTAGAATGGTGGTTGCCAGGTGCTGAGGGTTGGGGGAAATGGGGAGATGTTGGTCAAAGGGTTCAGACTTTCAATTATAAGATGAATAAGTTCTGGGGATCTAATTTACAGTATGGTTACTATTGTTAATAATACTGTATTGTATACTTGAAATTTGCTAAGAGAGTAGATCTTAAGTGTTCTCATCACAACAACAACAAAAAAGGTAACTATGTGAGGTGATGGATGTGTTAATTAACTTAATTGTGGTGCTCATTCACAATTTATATATATAGCAGATCATCATGTGTATACCTTAAATATATACAATTTTTATTTGTCAGTTATGTTACCCGGCCCACTGGTCCCAACATTCGGAGTCCCACCGGAGTGAGGTGAAATTGTTAACAGTTATACCTCAATAAAGCTGGAAAAAAACCTTAGAGGCTTGGGTTCAAGTTCAGACCTGAAAGGCTGGATATTAAAATATTTAACAATAACTCAGATTCAAGGTTAGACTAGAAGGGCATTAATGGAAGAATAGTTAACAGACACATGGTTTACAGGTCAGAGGAGGAGCACTGATGGTGGAACAGGTAACAGGTATCCAAGTTCAATATCAGTCCAGAGATAATTTGAAGGTAAAATCATTAATTTAGGCCCTGGTTTGAGAAGAGCACTGATAATGGAATTGGTAACAGAGGCTCATGATTTTAGATCTAGAACAAAAGGACACTGATGTTGAAAGAATTCACAGAGTGAAGTTTAAAGTCAGACCAGAAGAAAACTGATAGAGAAAGATAAATCAGAGGCCTGAAATTTGAGATCTAGACCAGAAGATAATTTGTGGTGGAGGAATTAACAGAGGCCTGGGATTAAGGTCAGACCACAGAGACATTGATAGTGCAATATTTAACAAGTATTTGAGTTTCAGGTCAGTCTAGAGGGGCATTCATGTTGGAAGAGGTAACAGAGGCTCTGAGTTTGCAGTTATAGCCAGAGAGACACAGAGGGACACTGATGGAGGAATAGTTAACAGAGGTTCACCTTCATGTCAAACTCAAGGGGCGTTAGTGGTGGTAGTTTAAAGTAGCCTGGCTTCAAGGTCACAGCACATGGATATTCACAGTGGAGAAGCTGACCTTCTTTCTCGATTTCAGAGCAGAGAGGCATTGATGAGGGAAGAACTGACAGAGGCCCAGGATTTGAGGCCTAGACCCAAGGGTATTGATTGTTTTGTATTGCACTAATTGTTGAAGAGTTAATGGGGATAGTTTCAAGGTCTAGGTTGAGTAGTTTAGAGAGGCTAACTTTGAGGTCAGTCTAGAGTATCAGAGATATTAGAAGACTTGATGGACGCATTATTCTCATTATAGAACAGAGAGGAATTGATCAGGGACGAGGTAATAGAACCAAGGACAAGATCTAAAAAAGAAGGAAATTTATGGTAGATGAGTTAACAGAGACCTGAATTGGAAGTCAAGGTAGAGGGACACTAATGATGGAAGAGTTGTTTGATGCTTGGGATTTGGTATTCTGAACAAAGTGAGATTGATGTTGAGATAGTTAACACAGGGCCAGATACAAGGTTAGAGCAGAGGTGCATTGATGGTGGTATTTTAATAGCAGTCTGGATTCAAGATTTATACTAAAAGAGCTTTTATGATGGAATAGTTCATAAAGGGCTGGAATTGATATCGGACCTGAAAGCTGTTAATAGCATAATATGTAACAAAAACCTAGGTTCAAGGTTAGACCAGAAAGGTGTTGATGGTGGAAGTGTTAACTGAGGCACAGCTGGGATGTCAGATCCATTAGCAGTGAAATAGATAAGGGGGTCTTAGGTTTGTGGTCAGGAACACAAAACAGATGATGGTGGGATAGTTTATAGAAGTCCAGATTCATGGCTAAAGCAAAGGGATTTTGATGGTAGTTCTTCAATGTGGCAGGGCCTACCCCCACTTGTCACTCATGGTCTAAACATTACCATCTGCAGCCCTCCTATTGGCGTCAATGCTGGTACCACTTCTCCAACCTGTTGCTCACAGTCCCAGAGTCACTGCCTCACTCTGCCTTCCTATTGGCAAGGGCTGCCCCTGCCCATAACACACAATCCAAGAGTCACTGCCCTCTAGGCTTTCCCTTTGTCCTTCAATGGAGGCAGGGCCTGCCCCCAGTCTGTCACTCATAGTCCTAGCATTACTATTTCCATAGAGTCTTCAATGCTAGCAGAACTTGACCTGGCCTATCACTCACAGGCCCAGCATCACCACCCTCCATGTCTCTTATTGGCCCTTAGACCCAGTGTCACCTCCCCTGCAGCCTCCCATTGGGTCTTCAATGGGATAAGGCCTGCCTCTGCCTGTCACTCACAGCCCTTGTGTCCACATCTTCCAGAATTTCCATTGGTTCTTCAGTGCTGGCAGGGCCCACCTCACCTGACCCTCATAACCCTAGCACTGCTACCCTCCAGACCTACCATTGACTCTTCAATGCTGGTAGAGCCAGCCTTTACCTGTCACTCACAGCACCAGCATTACCACTTTCCAGGCCTCCTATTGGCTTTTCATTGTGACAGGGCCCACTCCAGCCTGTCATTCACAGCTGTAGTGTCACCATTCTCATTGCCTTCTGGGCCTCCTATTGGCCCTTCAATGGGGCAGGGTCAACTCCCGCTTGTCACTTACAGCCCCAGGATCACTGTCCCCCAGGCCTTCCATGTCTGCCTAGTGTCTGTCCCTGCCTGTCACTTTCACCTTGGTGTTGTCACTGCCCAGGCCTCCCATTGGCCCCTCAAATGGGTATAGTTCACCCCAGCCTGTCACTCATAGTACTCCGTGTTAATATCCTTCCAGCCTCATTGGCTCCTCCGAGGTCTGCCAAGGCCAGTCTTTGCCTGTCACTCACAATCTTCCTGCCCCTGTAATCCAAAGTCTCTGACAGAATTAACAGAAGCCAGAACAGATTCAAGAAGACACTTGATCAATATTGGTGATGGAGAAGTAGACTCATAATTTGAGATCCACACTTTGATTATGAAATAATTAACAAAGTCACAGTTTTGCGATCCATAGCAGAGAGTAATTGATTGTGAAATGGTTATATGAGACCTATGTTCGATGCTCAGGCAAGAGGAGCATTAATAGTAGAAGTGTTAAGAGAGGCCTGAGTTCTTTGCATAGTTTAGAGGGGTAGTTATGGGGGGAATATTAACAATACCAAAGATACAGTTTAGACCTGAGGGATATTGATGGTGGAATAGTCAACAGATTCATGAGTCTGAGAAACGGAGAAGCATTGATGGTGGAAGAATTGACAGCTAATTTGATTTGAGATCTAGATCAGATGGGCATTGATACTGGAAAAGTTAGCAGGGGCCTTGTTTCTCTGTCACATTTGTAGTAAAAAATGGCCACAATCCTTTGCAGTTTGTCTCATTCTTACATTGGGCTGGCCTTGTGACTTACTTTGACGAGTAAAATGTGGCAGAAGTGATGTGCTATGCCAGTTATGGCCCAAATCTCAAGAGCATGAGATTTGCAGCTTCTGCTTTCACCCTCATAGAACTCTTCCTCTATCATGTAAAGAAATTCAGGATGGAAATCCAAGTGGAGAGGAGAGGCCCAGCCATCCTAGCCATTACAGTCATCCCAGGTGAGGCCCCAGACATGTGAGAGAGGCCATCTTGGACCTTTCAGCTGACTGCAGCCGCATGTTGTGAGCCCAGGTGAGAACAGCAGAGGAATCACCCATTTAACCCTCAGAATCCTTAAAAATAATGAATGGTTGTTGCTTTAAGTCGTTAAATTTTGTGGTCATTTGTTACACAGCAATAGATAACTGAAATCTCATATTGGAGGAGTTTTAATGGTGGAATAGTTAACAGAGGACAAGGACAAGCCAGAGTCCATTGATGGTTCAGAAAGGCATCGACGATGCAATAATTAATAAAGCTCAGGTTTGATTTTAAGACCACAGGGGCAATGATTATGGATGAGTTAACATACACCCAGGCTGAATTTGAACCAGATGAGCACTGACAGTAGAATAACTGAAAGAGGCTGAAGCTGTAGTTCAGACCAGAGAAGCGCTGATGGTGGAACAGTTAGGAAAGTTCCAGGATTCAAGATCTCTACCAGTGAGATATTGATGTGGAAAACGTAACAGTAGTCCTGGTTCAAGGTGAAATCAGAAGGACCCTGATGGTGGAAGAGTTAACAGAAACCTAGTTTCTTCCAGAGAGATTTAATTTAGTTTTTATTTTGGACTGCTGATTTATACAGTGTGAAAACTGTGTGAAATAATTTAAAAAGTCAACATTTGACTATGTAACTTTTCTATTGCAGTGTAATGCCCCAACTTTTAAGTGTCAAAATAAATGATAAATATAGTATTTGCTTTAGAAGTTCCTGAAAAATAGAGGTTAAGGTGGCATGGAGAGATTGGAGAAGGCCTTTTTTGAAAGTTTTGATTAGTAGCTACTCCCTAAATGATGTCAGGAAGTTATTAACAGAGCAAAAGATGAAGAACAAACTGAGGGAGCGAATGTATACAAACAAAGGTTGTAATTAGTTATGAACAAGGCATTATTTGTAGGGGAGAACTAATATTCTGGCCACACTGGAACACAAGCTACTTTATTTCACTTAATTTAAGCTACCATCAATTGTAAGATGCTACATTATTTTAGGTACCTCAAGGAAAAAACAATCTCCTCTGCTAAAGGAATCATTTCTTGCCAGCAATAGTAAGACAATCTGATTTCACAGATATTAAAGTGTGAATAAAAATGTGTGCCCTTGAATAGGTGAAACCTGACATTTGTTGGGGACTTGTGTAATGCAAGCTTAGATGCATGGATGAATCTTGACTATGTAAGGCTTTGTTTGTCAGGCTGATCACTGTAAACATTTTCACATTCAATAGAATTCAGAGATATGAAAACCAAGATCTAGTACAGCCACTATGGAAAACAGTATGGAGATTCCTCAAAAAATTAAAAATAGAAATATTGTATGATCCAGCTATTCCACTTCTGAGTATTTATCCAACGAACATGAAAACACTAATTCGAAAAGATATTTGCACCTTTATGTTCATTGTAGCATTATTCACAAGAGCCAAGACTTGGAAACAACCTAAATGCCCATCGACGGATGAATGGATAAAGAAGATGTGGTATACATATATATACAATGGAATTCTACCATAAAATGACCATAAAAAGGATGATAAAACTGCCATAAAAATGATGAAAGCTTGCCATTTGTGACAACATGGATGGACCTTGAGAGTATTATGCTAAGTGAAATAAGTCAGATGGAGAAAGACAAATACTGTATGATTTCACTCATATGTGGAAGATAAAACAATAACAACAACAAACAAACACATAGATACAGAGAATAGATTAGTAGTTACCGGAAAGAAAGAAGGGTGAGGGGAGGGCGAAAGGGATAAAGGGGGACATTTGTACGGTGACAGATGGCAAATAGACTTTTGGTGGTGAACACGATGTAGTCTATACAGAAGTGGAAACATAATGATGAACACCTGAAATTTATACAACATTATAAACCAATATTACATAAATGAATGAAAAGAAAACCAAGATCTAAAAGTAGAGGTTAAAGTAAAGTGTGAGGGATCTTTTAATTTTGGCCATAATGGAGTAGTTCATACTGGAGTCTCTTGCTAAAACAACTATAAAGGCTGGATAAATACATATAAAACTTGTCTGAAGGCACTGGAAACCAACTAATACATGCAGGACTTGAGGAGCCACAATTCTTGAGAGAAGGGAAGCACATGGAGTTCTACTTTTACCCTGGCATTTTCCCTGAAGGCATTTTCCAAATGGCAATGCAAGACAATAAGAGGGAATAGAGACCAATCAAAAAGTGACTAGCTTGCCAAAGTAGTTGGGATTAAGAGGCAAAGATCCCAGAGAGGAAGGTACCGTAGAGAAGGAGCCAAAATACCTGTGTACAAATACCCCTTTGTCTGACTTGAAGCTCTATGTGTGCAGGGCATGACTAACAGAAAACTGCAGCTAGGAGAATAAAGAGATGAGCGGAGATTTTGCAGCTGTTTGGTGCTGGAGGGGCAAAGGATGGAGTTCAAGCCCCACTAAGGTAAAGACCCTGGCAAGCACTCTAGGCTTTCAGCTGAGACCCAGAAGAGCCATGCCCTAGGAGTAAGGGCTACAATTTAGGAGTAAGGGT